TTTAAAGAGATGTAAAAACTGTGCTCGTCGTCAGCAAAAGTGACCTAAGCAGGTTAGCGTTATGCAAAGATAGTTGTCTATTTATGCTGTTGTCTGTCTGTGATTTGGCTTGTGTTTGTGTGCTTCACTGCTTTGGAATCTGTGTGCAGTGCCCAAGGATTTGTTGTATATGTGTTTTTCAGCTTATGTTGTGGATAGAGGTATGGGATTGAGATTGAAACAGAGTCCGTTTGGGATCACCAATGGTCTCCGGACATGAAAGCGTCGATAGATCAGTAACAGGTGAAGGAGTCAATATAGGGATGTTCATATAGGCCAGTGTTTCTCAACCTGGGGGTCGGGACCCCTGGAGGGGTCACGAGGGAGTGTCAGAGGGGTCACTAATGACCACCAGAAAACACAGTATTTTCATGGGGGTTCTATGTGGGAAGTTTGGCCCAATTCTGTCGTTGGTGGGGTTCAGAATCCTCTTTGATTGTAGGTGAACTATAAATCCCAGCAACTACAACTCCCAAAATGTCAATGACTATTTTCCCTAAACTTCACCAGTGTTCACATTTGGGCATGTTGAGTAGTCATGCCAAGTTTGGTCCAGATCCATCATCGTTTGAGTTCACAGTGCTCTCTGGATGTAGGTGAACTACAACTCCAAAACTCAAGGTCAATGCCCACCAAACCCTTCCAATATTTTCTGTTTGCCATGGGAGTTGTGTGTGCCAAGTTTGGTTCAATTCCATTGTTGGTAGAGTTCAGAATGCTCTTTGACTGCAGGTGAACTACAAATCCCAGCAACCACAACTCCCAAATGACAAAATCAACCCCCCCATCCCACTAGTATTCAAATTTGGGTGTATTGGGTATTTGTGACAAATGTGGTCTACGGAATGAAAATAAATCCTGCGTATCAGATATTTACATTACGATTGATAACAGTAGCAAAATGACAGTTATGAAGTAGGAAGGAAAATAATTTTAGGGTTGGGGGTCATCACAACATGAGGAATTGTATTAAGGGGTCGCAGCATGAGGAAGGTTGAGAACCCCTGATATAGGCGGTTTCCTTGGAATTAATCTTTAGGAAACAGGGTTTTTTGGCTTCGTTTTGTGGTAGACTGGGAAAGGCAGCGAGGAGGTGAAATCCAACTGGGGGAAAGGAATGTTCACCAGTTTCCCTTGCCCTGTTTGTCTAATCTGCATCTTCTCTCGCCCAGAACTGACCCAAAAGCAAAACAGTCAGGTTACTTGTATGTATTGCAGTCTGCCCTTCGCCCTCAGGGATTCTGCATCCATCACTTCAACCATCCACTGCTTCAAAAAGTTAGGGGGGAAAAAACAATTCTAAGAAGCAAACTTTTATTTTGCTATTTATTTATATGGCATTCCAAGGAGCGGGGTGAGCTCCTGCCTCTATCCCCAGCTTCTGCCAACTTAGCAGTTCGAAAATATGCAAATGTGAGTAGATCAATAGGTACTGCTTCTGTGGGAAGGTAATGCAGTCATGCCAATGGCAACATGATCTAGGACAATATGACGTCTGCGGACAACACCAGCTCTTTGGCTTAGAAATGGAGATAAGCACCATAGTCCCAGAGTCCGACATGTTTTTGAACTGGTAGGTTGGCATGTGACTGGCATGACTACGTGGAGCACCATTACATTCCCGCCAAAGCAGTACCTATTGATCTACTCACACTTGCCTGTTTTTGAACTACTAGGTTGGCAGAAGCTGGGGTTAACAGTGGGAGCTCACCCCGCTCCCCAGATTTGAGCTGCCAGCCTTTCAGCCAGCAAGTTCAGCAGTGTAGCGGTTTAACCCGCTGCACTACCAGATCAAAGTTGTTTTAATTGAATAGCCATCACTTGAAATGTATCTGGAATGGATGAGTTGATAAGATTCCCATTGGCTCCTACTAGAATTTAATGCAGCGTTTCTCAGCCTGGGGGTCGAGACCCCTGGGGGGACGCGAGGTGGTGTCAAAGGGGTCGCCAAAGACCATCAGAAAAACATAGTATTTTCTGTTGATCATGGGGGTCCTGTGTGGGAAGTTTGGCCCAATTCTATCGTTGATGCGGTTCATAATGCTCTTTGATTGCAGGTGAACTTTAAATCCCAGCAACTAGAACTCCCAAATGTCAAGGTCTACTTTCCCCAAACTCCAGCAGTGTCCACATCTGGGCATATTGAGTATTTGTACCAAATTGGGCCCAGATCCATCCTAGCTTGAGTCTCTGGATGCAAATGAACTACAACTCCAAAACTCAAGGTCAATGCCCACCAAACCCTTCCAGTATTTTCTGTTAATTATGAGAGTTCTGTGTGCCAAGATTCAGTTCACTTCCATCATTGGTGGAGTTCAGAATGCTCTTTGATTGTAGGTGAACTACAAATTCCAAGAAATTACAAGTCCCAGATGCCAAGGTCTATTTTCCCTAAACTCCACCAGTGTTTAAGGTTTGGGCATATTGGGGATTCATGCCAAGTTTGGTCTAGATTCATAGTTGTTTGAGTCCACAGTGCTCTTTGGATGTAGATGAACTACAACTCCAATACTCAAGGTCAATGCCCACCAAACCCTTCCAGGATTTTCTGTTGGTTATGGGAGTCCTGTGTACCAAGTTTGGCTCAATTCCATCACTGGGAGAGTTCAGAATGCTCTTTGATTGTAGGTGAACGATAAATTCCAGCAACCACAACTCCCAAATGTCGAGGTATTTTTTCCCCAAACTCCACCAGTGTTCACATTTGGGCATATTGAGGATTCATGCCAAGTTTGGTCCAGATTCATAGTTGTTTGAGTCCACAGTGCTCTTTGGATGTAGATGAACTACAACTCCAATACTCAAGTTCAATGCCCACCAAATTTTCTTGTTGGCCATGGGAGTTCTGCCACGTTTGGTTCAATTCCCCCACTAGTGGAGTTCAGAATGCTCTTTTATTGTAGGTGAACTATAAATCCCAGCAACTACAACTCTCAAATGACAAAAGCAATCTCCCCCCAAAAGCTCACCAGTATTCAAATGTGGACATAATGGATATTTGTGCCAAATTTGGTCCAGTGAAGGAAAATGCATCCTTCATATTTGATATTTACCGTATATACTCGAGTATAAGCCGACCCGAACAACAATAATAATAACAACAAAAAAGTAAGATAATAAATAACCTTGACTCGAGTATAAGCCAAGGGAGACTTTATCAGCCTCAAAAAAGGACTGAAAAACTAGGCTTATACTCAAGTATATACAGTACATTACGATTCATAGCAGTAGCAAATTCACAGTTATGAAAGTAGTAGTGAAAATAATGTGATGGTCGGGGGTCACCACAGCAGGAGGAATGGTCTTAAGAGGTCGCGGCATTAGGACGGTTGAGAAACCCTGGTTTGATGCTCCTCCCTTTCCCAGTCTCTCTCCTGTAGCTGCATTCCTTTCTATACCTTAGCTTCTCCTTAATGTGGCTGTTGTTTGGTATGGATTGTAATCGTATGGCCTCTCTCACTGCATGAGAATAACTCTTTCCCTCCCCACCTCGCCTCGTCTCTGTCCACACGGTCAACCCATTTCCCTTTTTCTCCCTTTCCTTCACCTCTCTCCATCTCTTCTATTTCAGAAAAGAACCGGCTACCAAAAATGCGTCCTCCGGGCTTGAAATTCCGGCCGAAGAAGCGCCCGCAAAGCCCCTACTGAGCTTGGCTCCCGTTCTGTTTGTTTCTCAGGAACTCCGCAACATCCCCAAAAAAGGAACAGTCGGACGGTTTCCTTCTGGTCCAAACTGGGACAAGGGGAACATCCTCTGCTTGTTCGGTCCTAAGTGGGGGAGTTTTGGGCACCGAGTGACCAACCCGATTGGTTCTCAAAACAAATCTCCCCCGGATCCTTACTTGAGCGAACTGAGTGCTGGTGTTTTTTGAATAATTTTCTGTTGTTTTTTAGTTTTCAGTGGTTTGTTACTGACCAGCTGACGTTGTTTTACGTTTTTATCGTGTCTGTGACATTTTCTGTTGATAAGTAAAGACAGACGCCATGTCCTGGTCTCCTTTCTGCATCTCATTGTTGTCCGTGTGTCTGTTTTGCCACTCACTCATGCGCTCCGTAAGCAGGTAATGGTTATGCCCGTTCGGTTATGGCACCAGAGGTGTAGCGTTGGCTAGAACTGTGTGCACCGCTCGACTTTTGTCCCATGGTTGAGTTCTGATTTTGTGGTGCCAAGAGATTGACCCAGAGGTAGGGCTGAACATAGAGCCTGGAGATCCGATAACTTATCCATATTCTGAGAAGAATTTAGGAAATGGGTTGTTGTAGGTTTTTTCGGGCTATATGGCCATGGTCTACTGGCAATCTCTCCTGACGTTTCGCCTACATCTATGGCAAGCATCCTCAGAGGTTGTGAGGTCTGTTGGAACTAGAAAAAGGGTTTATATATCTGTGGAAAGACCCTTTTTCCTACTTCCAACAGACCTCATGACCTCTGAGAATGCTTGCCATAGATGCAGGCGAAACGTCAGGAGAGAATGCCTCTAGACCATGGCCATATAGCCTGAAAAAACCTACAACAACCCAGTGATTCCAGCCATGAAAGCCTTCGACAATACAATTTGGGAAATTCTTCAGTCTATGTTGATTTCTAGGCTCACCAAACATCACCCAAAGAACAGGCAAGCAATTCTGTGAAATTATGTAATCTGCAGAACCAAAAGGAAAAGCAACATTTGGGGAGATGGCTAGGCTCAAACCCTTTTGGATTTGCTTTTCTGTTTTCCATTTTTCTTCTGCTCGTTGGATAAACAAGTTGAAAGCCTGCATTTCGCTCTCCCTATTGCAAAAGGCGCAGAATGTAAGGAGGGATGAAACCAAGCCAAGGGACTAGTTAGTCTGGGGAAAAGGTTTGGTTGCCAGTTTCTGGACTGGCCGATCCAGATCTTGCCTTGTCGCCAACAATATGTGTTGTTCCTCCGTTGGGGACCGCTTGCGAGGCTAAGCAAGTGATGTTTCTCTCCTAGACAAAGACGAATGCTCCAAGGATAACGGCGGATGTCAACACGAGTGCCTGAACACCTTCGGCAGCTACGAGTGCCAATGCCGCAGTGGCTTTGTGCTACACGACAACAAGCACGACTGCAAAGAAGGTGTGTGATTCACATTTCTCAGTTCCATCCCCTATCCCTTGCCCATTCTGTGGGTACAGAATGCAGTTGGGTTTGACATAGACTCTGTACATTTATTTTTATTTATCGTGTCAGGAGCAGACCAAACAGTTGTACTGCGTTTTTTTTTTAACAAACAGACAAAACACAGAATTTGCAAGCTTGGTAGTTGATTAAATGTCCTTTGACCAGTATCTGGCTCCTTGGAGTGCCTCTGGTGTTGCTGCAAGAAGGTCCTCCATGGTGCATGTGGCAGGGCTCAGGTTGCATTGCAGCAGGTGGTCAGTGGTTTGCTCTTCTCCACACTCCCATGTCGTGGACTCCACTTTGTGGCCTCATTTCTTGAGGTTGGCTCTGCATCTCGTGGTGCCAGAGCGCAGCCTGTTCAGCGCCTTCCAAGTCTCCCAGTCTTCTGTGTGCCCAGGGGGGAGTCTCCTGTTTGGTATCAGCCATGGGTTGAGGTTCTGGGTTTGAGCCTGCCACTTTTGGACTCTCGCTTGCTGAGGTGTTCCAGCAAGTGTCTCTGTAGATCTTAGAAAACTATTTCTTGATTTAAGTCATTGACGTGCTGGCTGATACTCAAACGGGATGAGCTGGAGATGTCTCTGCCTTGGTCCTTCCACTATTGGCCACTACTTCCCAGCGGATGTCAGATGGTGCAATACCGGCAAAACAGTGTAATTTTTCCAGTGGTGTTGGATGCAGACACCCGTGATAATGCAGCATGTGTCATGAAGAGCCACATCCACTGTTTTAGCGTGGTGAGATGTGTTCCACACTGGGCATGCATACTCAGCAACGGAGTAGCAAAGCACAAGGGCAGATGTCTTCACTGTGTCTGGTTGTGATCCCCAGGTTGTGCCAGCCAGCATTCGTATGTATATTGACATACACTATGGGCCCCATGGTGGCGCAGAAGGTTAAACCACTGAGCTGCTGATCTTCTTGACCGAAAGGTTGACGGTTTGAATCTGGGGAGCGGGGTAAACTCCCACTGTTAGGCCCAGCTTCTACCAATCTAGTAGTTTGTAAACATGCAAATGTGAGTAGATCAATAGGTATCGCTCCTACGGGAAGGTAATGGTGCTCCATGCAGTTATGCTGGCCACATGACCTTGGAGGTGTCTACAGACAACACCGGCTCTTCGGCTTGGAAATGGAGATGAGCACCATTCCCCAGAGCTGGGCAAAACTAGACGTAATGTCAACGGGAAACCTTTACCTTATGTACATTCTGCACTAGCCAGATGGAAACCTAGTATACAATCTTTTTTGTATCAGTGTATTCTTACATTGCCAAGATTGTTGGGAGGCAAGTTTACTTTCTTATTTAGTTGATCCGTCGTTACTCGAGGATGATTGTCTTCCAGATGTGGTGTCCTGGCAGTGGGTCTGTAGGTGGCTGTGGAGCCCGATTCTTGATCCGCATGTTCTCCTGCAGTGAGGACATTGGTTTTCAGACAGAAGGCAGTCCCGGTCGGGGTTGGCTTGACGCGCCTTCCTCTTAGCACTTTTCTCCCTTTGACCCTCCATTCATGCCTCTTCGAATTCTGCAGCACTGCTGGTCACAGCTGACCTCCAGCTAGAGTACTCAAGGGCCAGGCTTCCCAGTTCTCCGTGTTTTTGAGGTTGGCTTTGAGTCTCTTTTTAAGTCTTTAAGTCTCTTTTCCTGTCCTCCAACATTCTGTTTTCCATTATTGAGTTTGGCGTAGAGTAACTGCTTTGGGAAACGGTGATTGGGCATTCAGACAACATGGCTGGTCCACTGGAGTTGATGGCGGAGGAGCATCGCTTCAGTGCTGGGAGACAAGCGAGATCAAACCTAAAACCATTTCCCAGGATTAAATGCTAATAAAGGGAAAGGTTTTCCCCTTGACATTAAGTGTAGTTGTGTCCAACTCTCTTGCTGACCTTTTCCTGCTTACCGAGTCTTGCTTTTTTTCAGCTGGCTGTGATCACAAGATGACCTCCATCAGTGGTACCATCACCACCCCAAATTGGCCGGATAAATACCCAAGCAAGAAGGAGTGCAGCTGGGCAATAACAACGACACCCGGACACCGCGTCAAACTGGTAACACGTGGGAGAAGACGTAACTGCAATGCATATAGCAGCAAGGGTTCTGTTTTGACATACAATGGATAGATAAGTTTGGAAATTGCACAGGGGAAAGTCCTCTGCTGAGCATAAAGAAATCAAGCTTAAGTACGAGGCTCCTCCTATGCAATTGCCAAAGTTATCTATCCATTGTATGTTAAAATCGGTTGGCAGGAGCTAGGGCTAACAGCGGGAGCTCGCCCTGTCCTGCGGATTTGAACTGCCAACCTTCCGGTCAGCGGTTCAGCAGCACAAGGGTTTAACCCATTGGGTTGTTCTAGGTTTTTGGGCTGTATGGCCATGTTCTAGAAGCATTCTCTCCTGACGTTTCGCCTGCATCTATGGCAGGCATCCTCAGAAGTTCAGCAGCACAAAAGGGTTTAACCCATTGGGTTGTTGTAGGTTTTTTGGGCTGTATGGCCATGTTCTAGAAGCATTCTCTCCTGACGTTTCGCCTGCATCTATGGCAGGCATCCTCAGAAGTTCAGCAGCACAAAAGGGTTTAACCCATTGGGTTGTTGTAGGTTTTTTGGGCTGTATGGCCATGTTCTAGAAGCATTCTCTCCTGACGTTTCGCCTGCATCTATGGCAGGCATCCTCAGAAGTTCAGCAGCACAAAAGGGTTTAACCCATTGGGTTGTTGTAGGTTTTTTGGGCTGTATGGCCATGTTCTAGAAGCATTCTCTCCTGACGTTTCGCCTGCATCTATGGCAGGCATCCTCTGAAGTTCAGCAGCACAAAAGGGTTTAACCCATTGGGTTGTTGTAGGTTTTTTGGGCTGTATGGCCATGTTCTAGAAGCATTCTCTCCTGACGTTTCGCCTGCATCTATGGCAGGCATCCTCTGAAGTTCAGCAGCACAAAAGGGTTTAACCCATTGGGTTGTTGTAGGTTTTTTGGGCTGTATGGCCATGTTCTAGAAGCATTCTCTCCTGACGTTTCGCCTGCATCTATGGCAGGCATCCTCTGAAGTTCAGCAGCACAAAAGGGCCAGAATCACTGGGTTGTTGTAGTTTTTTGGGCTGTATGGCCATGTTCTAGAAGCATTCTCTCCTGACGTTTCGCCTGCATCTTTGGCAGGCATCCTCAGAGGTTGTGAGGTTTGTTGGAAACTAGGAACATTGGATTTATATATCTGTGGAAAGTCCAAGGTGGGAGAAATGAGATTAACCAGATCTCAATGTGACCAGCTCAGAATATGTGTTACTTGGAGATAACAGTGTGGGCTTCACCAATGGCAACTTTGTTTTGGTGTTTCTAAGCTTGGGAGTGATCCTGGGTTCATCGCTGAGGACTCAGAGGTGGCCAGGGGAGCTTTTGCACAGTTAAAGCTTGTGCCCCAGCTTCCCGTTCCTTGGGAAGTCTGACTTTACCACGGTGGTCCACATTCTGGTTACATCCCGTATAGACTACTGCAACGCTGTCTACGTGGGGTTGCCTTCGAAGACTGTTCGGAAGCTGCAGTTAGTCCAACGCTCGGCAGCCAGGCTACTAATGGGATTGGGGTACAGGGAGCGCACAACTCCTCTGTTGTGCCAGCTGCACTGGCTGCTAGTTAGCTTCCAAGCACGATTTAAAGTGCTGGTTTTAACCTACAAAACCCTATACGGTTCTGGCCCAGTTTACCTGTCCGAACGTATTCTCCCCTATGAACCATCAAGACTGTTAAGATCTTCTGGAGGGGCCCTGCTCTCGGTCCCGCCACCTTCACAGGACCGAGAGCAGAACAAAAGGGAGGGGGCTGACCTGATCTCATTAGGAAAGGAGTTCCATAGCCAAGGGGCAATCACTGAGAAGGCCCTGTCTCTCGTCCCCACCAAACACACCTGTGATGGTGGCGGGACTGAGAGCAGGGCCTCCCCAGAAGATCTTAATCTCTGCAGTGGTTCATAGGGGTGGTTCATAGTTGGCCATGGCGTTCTATGTGAGAAGTTTGGCCCAATGCTATGGTTGGAGGGGTTCACAATGCTCTTTGATTGTAGGTGAACTATAAATCTCAGCAACTACAACTCCCAAAGGTCAAGGTCTATTTTCCCCAAACTCCACCAGGGTTCACATTTGGGCATATTGAGTATCTGTGTCAAATTTGGTCCAGATTCATAGTACTCCCTGGATATAGGTGAACTACAACTCCAAAACTCAAAGTCAGTGCCCACCAAACCCTTCCAGTATTTTCTGTTGGTGATGGGAGAAGTGTGTGCCAAGTTTGGTTCAATTCCATTGTTGGTGGAGTTCAGAATGCTCTTTGATTGTAGGTGAACTTTAAATCCCAGCAACTACAACTCTCAAATGACAAAATCCCCCCCACCCACCCCAGTATTCAAATTTGGGCGTATGGGGAATTTGTGCCAAATTTGGTCCAGTGAATGAAAATACATCCTGCATATCAGATGTTTACATGACGATGCGTAACAGGAGCAACATTACAGTTATGAAGTAGCACCGAAAATAATTTTATGGTTGGGGGTCACCACAACATGAGGAACTGTATCAAGGGGTCGCGGCATTAGAAAGGTTGAGAAACACTACGCTAGACGCATGTTGTGTCTCCTCCTGTCCGTGTTAGCAGGCTTTCCTTTTTTGCAGACCATCCGGGAGTTGGATATCGAAGGACACCAAGAATGCACTTACGACCACCTGGAGATCTATAATGGGAAAGATGCCAAAGCGCCCGTCTTGGGTCGATTCTGTGGCTCCAAGAAGCCAGACCCCATCATCTCTTCCAGCAACAGGATGTTCCTCAAGTTCTTCTCAGATAACTCCGTCCAAAAGAAAGGCTTTGAGGCAACCTATACGTCAGGTAACACTCCCCCTTAGCTCATGCCTACCTTTGGGACCTCAACCACAAGAGTACGTTGAGTAGGATCATTGTCACAAATTACACTTGCTCTTATTGTGGCACCTTCATTCGTGTTTTTATATATACCAGCTTAAGCACCCAGCAATTCCCGGGTTAGATATTTCGTAATCTGCAACACTATTTATGAGAAGAAGTAGTTCTTTTGAGCTTTTATGAATGACCCCATTAAGAAAATGTATAAGGATGTGGGTGGACTACAACTCACTTCATGCCAGGTTAATCCCCCTCAAACCACTCCATTACTTTCTATCAGGCATAGGGATTCTGTGTGCCAAATCTGCTTAAGAGCCATTGACGGTAGGGTTTAGAGTACTCTCTGGATGTAGGGTGAACTACAACTCCCACTCGGATGGGTCAGTCCCCCAAACCCCTCCAGTATGTTCTGTTGATCAAAGGAGTTTTGTGTGCCAGGTGTGGTCCAGATCCGTCATTGGTGGGGCCAGAGTGTTCTCTGAATGCAAGGTGAACTACAACTCCCACCCTGATGGGTCAGTCCCCCAAACCCCTCCAGTATGTTTTGTTGGTCATGGGAGTTTTGTGTGCCAAGTGTGGTCCAGATCCATCATTGGTGAGGTTCAGAGTGCTCTCTGAATGCAAGGTGAACTACAACTCCTATCCGGGTGGATCACTCCACCAAACCCTTCCATTATTTTCTGTTGCCGAAGGGATTCTGTGTGCAAAATCTGCTCAAGATCCATCAACAGTGGGGTTTAGCGTGCTCTCTGGTTGTAGGGTGAACTACAACTCCCACTTGGATGGGTCAGTCCCCCAAACTCCTCCAGTATGTTCTGTTGGTCATGGGAGTTTTGTGTGCCAAGTGTGGTCCAGATTCGTCATTGGTGGGGCCAGGGTGTTCTCTGAATGCAAGGTGAACTACAACTCCTATCCGGGTGGATCACTCCACCAAACCCTTCCATTATTTTCTGTTGCCGACAGGGATTCTGTGTGCGAAATCTGCTCAAGATCCATCAAATGTGGGGTTTAGCGTGCTCTCTGGTTGTAGGGTGAACTACAACTCCCACCTGGGTGGGTCAGTCTCCCAAACCTCTCCAGTATGTTCTGTTGGTCATGGAAGTTTTGTGTGTCATGTGTGGTCCAGCCCAACATTGGTGGGGTTCAGAGTGCTCTCTGAATGCAGGGTGAACTACAACTCCCAGCTGCAAACCCCTCCAGTTGGTCATGAGAGTTTGGTCATGAGAGTTTGGTCATGAGAGTTTGGTCATGAGAGTTCGATCATGAGAGTTCGGTCATGAGAGTTTGGTCATGAGAGTTCGGTCATGAGAGTTCGGTCATGAGAGTTTGGTCATGAGAGTTCGGTCATGAGAGTTCGGTCATGAGAGTTCGGTCATGAGAGTTTGGTCATGAGAGTTCGGTCATGAGAGTTCGGTCATGAGAGTTTGGTCATGAGAGTTCGGTCATGAGAGTTTGGTCATGAGAGTTCGGTCATGAGAGTTTGGTCATGAGAGTTCGGTCATGAGAGTTTGGTCATGAGAGTTCGGTCATGAGAGTTTGGTCATGAGAGTTCGGTCATGAGAGTTTGGTCATGAGAGTTCGGTCATGAGAGTTTGGTCATGAGAGTTCGGTCATGAGAGTTTGGTCATGAGAGTTCGGTCATGAGAGTTTGGTCATGAGAGTTCGGTCATGAGAGTTTGGTCATGAGAGTTCGGTCATGAGAGTTCGATCATGAGAGTTCGGTCATGAGAGTTTGGTCATGAGAGTTCGGTCATGAGAGTTTGGTCATGAGAGTTCGGTCATGAGAGTTTGATCATGAGAGTTTGGTCATGAGAGTTCGATCATGAGAGTTCGGTCATGAGAGTTTGGTCATGAGAGTTCGGTCATGAGAGTTCGGTCATGAGAGTTTGGTCATGAGAGTTCGATCATGAGAGTTCGGTCATGAGAGTTTGGTCATGAGAGTTCGGTCATGAGAGTTCGGTCATGAGAGTTTGGTCATGAGAGTTTGGTCATGAGAGTTCGGTCATGAGAGTTCGGTCATGAGAGTTTGGTCATGAGAGTTCGATCATGAGAGTTCGGTCATGAGAGTTTGGTCATGAGAGTTCGATCATGAGAGTTCGGTCATGAGAGTTTGGTCATGAGAGTTCGATCATGAGAGTTCGGTCATGAGAGTTCGGTCATGAGAGTTCGGTCATGAGAGTTCGGTCATGAGAGTTTGGTCATGAGAGTTTGGTCATGAGAGTTCGGTCATGAGAGTTCGGTCATGAGAGTTTGGTCATGAGAGTTCGATCATGAGAGTTCGGTCATGAGAGTTTGGTCATGAGAGTTTGGTCATGAGAGTTCGGTCATGAGAGTTTGGTCATGAGAGTTTGGTCATGAGAGTTCGGTCATGAGAGTTCGGTCATGAGAGTTTGGTCATGAGAGTTCGGTCATGAGAGTTCGGTCATGAGAGTTTGGTCATGAGAGTTTGGTCATGAGAGTTCGGTCATGAGAGTTCGGTCATGAGAGTTCGGTCATGAGAGTTCGGTCATGAGAGTTCGGTCATGAGAGTTTGGTCATGAGAGTTTGGTCATGAGAGTTCGGTCATGAGAGTTCGGTCATGAGAGTTTGGTCATGAGAGTTCGGTCATGAGAGTTTGGTCATGAGAGTTCGGTCATGAGAGTTTGATCATGAGAGTTCGGTCATGAGAGTTTGATCATGAGAGTTCGGTCATGAGAGTTTGGTCATGAGAGTTCGGTCATGAGAGTTCGGTCATGAGAGTTCGGTCATGAGAGTTCGGTCATGAGAGTTCGATCATGAGAGTTCGGTCATGAGAGTTTGGTCATGAGAGTTCGGTCATGAGAGTTTGGTCATGAGAGTTCGGTCATGAGAGTTTGATCATGAGAGTTCGGTCATGAGAGTTCGATCATGAGAGTTCGGTCATGAGAGTTTGGTCATGAGAGTTCGGTCATGAGAGTTCGGTCATGAGAGTTCGGTCATGAGAGTTTGGTCATGAGAGTTCGATCATGAGAGTTCGGTCATGAGAGTTTGGTCATGAGAGTTCGGTCATGAGAGTTTGGTCATGAGAGTTCGGTCATGAGAGTTCGATCATGAGAGTTCGGTCATGAGAGTTCGGTCATGAGAGTTCGATCATGAGAGTTCGGTCATGAGAGTTTGGTCATGAGAGTTCGGTCATGAGAGTTCGGTCATGAGAGTTCGGTCATGAGAGTTTGGTCATGAGAGTTCGGTCATGAGAGTTTGGTCATGAGAGTTTGGTCATGAGAGTTCGGTCATGAGAGTTTGGTCATGAGAGTTTGGTCATGAGAGTTCGGTCATGAGAGTTTGGTCATGAGAGTTCGGTCATGAGAGTTCGGTCATGAGAGTTTGGTCATGAGAGTTCGGTCATGAGAGTTCGGTCATGAGAGTTCGGTCATGAGAGTTCGGTCATGAGAGTTCGATCATGAGAGTTCGGTCATGAGAGTTTGGTCATGAGAGTTTGGTCATGAGAGTTCGGTCATGAGAGTTCGGTCATGAGAGTTCGATCATGAGAGTTCGGTCATGAGAGTTTGGTCATGAGAGTTTGGTCATGAGAGTTTGGTCATGAGAGTTCGGTCATGAGAGTTTGATCATGAGAGTTCGGTCATGAGAGTTTGATCATGAGAGTTTGGTCATGAGAGTTTGGTCATGAGAGTTTGGTC